TGAGGGGAGCAAGGGGAAGAGGGGGGCTCAGACAGCCCAGGGTGGGGGAGGCCAGAAAGCTTAGCCTCCGCTCTGCTTGGCAAGGAAGAATCCAGAGGATGAGGGGCAGGTGCCCACGCCCTGATGTTTATCCCAGGGGCCACATCTCAGGAGAGGGAGCCCTGCTTCCGGAGGGAGGTCACTGCACCTGCCCTCTGTGTGGCTTCCAAACCCCCTCCCAGGGTCTGTCTGGCCCTGCCTGTGGGTGCCCAGGTCTCCCCTCCCCTGTGGGCACTGCGAGAGCTGCCAGCGGTGCCCCTGCGGCAGGGACTCTGCTTTACCTGCCCTGTTGCCCTGAACCCTGCAGCTGTGACCGGCAGCTCTGGTGACTTTAACCAGGGAGCCCTGGCTTCTGGCCCCAGCCTGAGCAGAAAGGGGCAGGGGTTGCCGGGGCCCAGCCCAGGGCTTTCTCCCAAGGTCACAACAAGGTTTGCAGGGCTGGGAGCTCGGGTTCCACATACACATTCGCCTGTTCTGATGAGTGCTGAGTCCACCCTCCTACATCAGTGTCTTCCTTGCACATAGTAGGTGCACAACAAATATTTGTTGAATGAACGAACGACACAGAAGCCCTTGGAAATCTGTAATGGGTAGAGTTGATGTGTGAACTGATAACCAGGGTTTGACATTTTAAACCAGACTTGACACAGTGAATGGGGTGAGGGGTGGGCCCTGGAAGTTACCAGAGGGGGCAAAGATAGACTTGGGCGTCCTCCTAATTTTGACAGGCGCCAGTTCTGTCCCCCCACCCTGTCCCCACGACCTCCTGCCCTCTTCTAAGGACACAGGAATAGAGTCCTAAGTTGTCAGACAGGTCAGGGCTTGGAGGTCACTGGGTCCAATGTCTTAACTTCGAAGATGGGAAAATGAGGTTCAGAGAAGGAAAGAGACCCCCCAGGATCGCACCGTAAATCAGAACCCAAACTCCTTCTCTAGACTCCAAGTCTTCATATTCTAGAGCTTAGGATCTCTCTGGTTTCCCTTTTTGCACAGCTGCCAAGAAGCTCAGAGGTCTCTTTTGAAACCGTGTGTCATAAGCCCACCGACATGGCTTCTGTAAGGCAACACACTTTTATTTGGTTCCAATAATGTGTCCAACCCCATGCCCTGTGTGTTCACATCCACGTGTGTGAGATACACGACAGGCCCCTCTTTACAAGCAAGGACACAGATTCAGAGACACAGAGCAATTTGCCCAAATCGCCTGACTAGGGAGTCACAGAGGCAGGATTCCAGCTCCGGCTCCCCACTCACGCTGCTTCCTCGCTAGGAACACGCACGCAGTGCCAGGCCCTGGGCCCCAGGCCCGGTGGGCTGCTGTCCCCAGCTTTCCTCCTTGTCCACGCGCGCCTTCCCACCCTCGAGGAGCCACGGAGCCACGGAGGGGAACTCGGTTTTGAAGCTTCTCCTCTCTCCAGCCCTTGGGATCCAGGCCTACCCCGTGCTCATGGAGACAGGCATGCCTGGGACTGCATTTTGGAAACAGTCTGGCCAACTTAGTCGGGAATCCTATTGGTAGCCAGGCACCCTGAGCAGACAGCCACTAGCAGAGAAAGATGTTTAAAAAAACCCAAACCTGCACAGAGATGTGGGTCACAGGTGTGTAGCGTAGAGAGAGGCCGCGCTCATCTGGAGAGCGCAGGGGAGGCAGAGGCCACACCCAGGGGCCCTCCTCACCCAGCTCTGGGGAATCCTGACTCCTCTGAACTTGCGGCTGGTAAGGAGAGCCCAAGGGGACAATGTGCCCCATAGGCGAGCCGAGGAAAGGGAAGTTTGTCCTTCCGGGCCGCTAGTGGCGCGGTTCTCCTGCCTTTTGCACAAGGGACCCCTCCAGGGACATGGCTGGTCCTGAGTGCGGTGGTGGGAGCTGGCCTCGGCCCTCCCCTCTCCCACCTCCCCACTGTAGGCCCAGGTGACCTGCGAAGGCCTTTTAGGAGCGCTCTGCAGTCGTTAAAAATGCAAACTACGTAGAAGCCACGAAAACCAAGAAAAGTCAGTTCCCAGAAAAAATGACAGCGAGAAAGCCAAGTCCCCGGTCACCGCCAGCTCGGGCCGGCAGAGGCGGGTGAGGACTCGCAGGACGCCGGGCTGGATGCCTTCGGGGCGCTTTCCCTTTTTCTGAGCGAGTTGAGTTGAGAAGGAAAAGGAGCTTGTCAGAGCTGGCGGGGAGGGAGCGGCAGGAGGCTCTGGGAGCTGAGCCTGGGGTGGGCCCAGCGGAGAGCGAGGCGGTCCCGGCGCCAGAGCCTGAGAGCACCGCTCCCGCCCAGCGCCCTGCACCACCCCCCAGCCACCCACCTGCCCTGGGGGCCTGAGGCGGGGCGGGGAACTCGAGGGCAGGGCCTGGGCTCCCTATCCGGGCTGGGGGAAGGGGAGGCTGAAGAAGAGCTCGGCTTCCCCTCCCCCGCCGGGACCCTCCCGTCATCCTGTCTCTGTGATTTCAAGTTCTGTGACATCTAAGGTTCTTACACCCCCAGATACTGCGATCCCCCCTATTTCCGCGCCCGCCGAGAAAGGGAGTGAAGTGTGAGCGATTGGAGGAGCCGCCGCCAGCACCCGAGCAGGGCAGGGGAAGGCAGGTGGGAGGGCGAGAAAGGGAGCAGGTGGGAGAGGGAAGGTGAGTCAGCAAGAGCCGAGCGAGGAGCTGGTTTGCAGGGAGCCGCGGGGCCTGGGAGCCTCCCCTCAGCTGTGCTGCGCTCCCCCTGCACCCGCCCCCTGGGCCCACACGGGCGCTCCACTCCGCACCCCACAAAGTCCTTGCATCAGGCTCTCGTCCAAGGCGCCCGTCCTGCACCCCCAGTCCGCGGGCCACCAGCAGGCGCTCTAGAGGGGCCGCTGTCCCCGCGGCTGAGCAGGGGGCAAAGTGGCGGCTGGGAGGTTGTCCTGGGGTGGGCTCCACTAGGTCCCCTCCCCGCCCCGAGTTTGAGGGCCTGTCTGGTTACTACCGGTTCCCCAGGGCGCCAGAGCATCGCTGACAAGGAGTCAGGCAGGGGAGGATGATCTGGGGGGTCTCCCGGGGCCTGCAGGGCTGGGTGTGGGGACATCCTGATGAGACACTTGGGTGGAAGGCGAGAGCCCAGCACTGCACTTACCTGTCTCGAGAGCAGGCGGCTGGGCAGCTCTGCCTCTGTCTTGCTCGGGGCCTCCTTCCCGCCCCAGGTGCTTCCAGCCCTCAGGTCCCAGGTGCTCCCAGGGATCACTGGGCGGGGCGGGGAGGGGCGGCTTCCTTTCCCCGCCCCTCGCCCCCCCCCCCCCCTCTGGCCGTCCTCACCTGGGTTGAAGCCAGTCTCCTTCTCGGGACCTCTGTTGGTTACCCCATCTGCAAAACGCTGGTGCTTGTCCAACCTGACTCTTGGGTTTTGGTAAGAGTCAGGGCACTACAGGGGTGAAGTGTTACGGAAATGAGAACCCTTCAGAAGCGTTATTTGCCGAGGACTTGGGTCTCCAGGGTCTCAGGCGCTCTTGTTCAACTGTTAAAGCACTTGGGAGGCCCAAAGATTTACCCACATGGAAGCCACATTGCCAGTGCTAGTGAAACCCATTCACAGAGGAGCCCAGCGCACTTTTCAGCAGGCCAGCTCCGCAGCTGGCACCTTTGCGTTGATGATTCCTGGGAACAGGGAGCGCGGCCTCTGCATCTTTCTACCCCAAGGGTGGGGGGCACAGTTGGCATGTAGAGTTAGAGCTGGAAGGACCCCCTCGTTGGTGGTGACCTTACCAGGCTCCCAAGACATGGACTCTGACTTCCATCTTTGAACCTGGGCTGGCTTCTCACCTGACTGGGCAATGGCGCGCAGTGGTGATGTTCAGCATTCTCAGGCTAGGCTCCGGCGACCTGGCAGCCTTGCGGCCCCCGCCTTCACCCTCTGAGGCTTCCCCGAGACACCAAGTAGGAATTGGTCCAGCTGCTTGGAGGAGAGACCCCTGGAGAGAACGTCTGCTGCCCCCAGCCAACAGCCAGCCAGCCACCAGACCTGGGGGTGAAGGCCCCGAGCCCCCCGCCCCGGCCTCACTGACATTCCAGCTGAACATAGGTGCGGGCGGAGGCCAGAGAGGGAACCGCGCACCCACCCACCCACAGAACCTTGCGGAGAATGAGCCATGCTCGGCTGTTGGGGTGGCTTGTCACCCAGCACAGGCTAACTGCAACGGAAAAGGACTTACCCCGACCCGCTAAGACCAGCTTTCCCGGCTGCCCGAGAGCTCACCACCCGGTGTTCTCTGACCAGATCCTGGGTGCATGTGGAGGGGTATAAGCTGCGGGGTCCCACTTCCCCTGGGGGATAGAAGGTTGGCTGGTATCCACACGGGGCTCTGCTGCTGGTCACCTCGGGAGGGAGCTCTGGTTCACCCCACTCTACAGATGGTAGAGCTGCTAAGTCCTCACTCAACCCCAAGTCCTCTGAAGCCACTTGGGACCCTCCCAGTGCCTCCAGGCAGGAGGATGCAGGTGATAGGGTTCCCTGCAAGGTGAGTGTCAGAAAGGGGCGTGCACACACACACACACACACACACGGTGCACATGCCACACATGCCACACATACATGCAACACAGCACACAATCCATGCCATACACCATACAACCACACACACCACACAGGCACCACACACACACACACACGCGCGCGCGCGCACACACACACACACGATGCTGGTCAGTTTTTCTCTCTCCTGCCCCTAACGGACCATACCCCTAAGGGACCATATACTTTATTAAAAATATATAGTTACAAACTCCATTGTCAAGCTGGGCTGGGCCCGGAGGGACGCAGGGAGGGACGTCGCCCTCCCTCGGGCCCCACCTCTGCACCCACACCTGACACCATCGGTGAGCGGCTGGCTTGGCTGGCCCCACGGGGCCGGCCAGCAGGCGGGGAGGGGCTGGACTTGCGGGCGGGAGGGGCGCGTGAGGGGGCTGCATCTCCTTGTCCTGCGAGTACAGGTGGCGGAAGGTGGCTCGGCACCTCCAGCTCTCTCCGTTTATAGGTATTTACAAAAGAAAGTCATGAGCAACAGGCCACGGTCATGCAAAAGAAACGCACCCCCCTCCCCCCTCCCCCCAATCTGACCCTCTGCCCACCCGGAACCCCACGAGGCCCACCCCCCAGCAGTCCAGCCGCCTTCCCCAGGGTTCTGAGCACAGAGGGGGCATGGGGCATGTCCTTGAAGGGTTGCTGGGGCAAGGGTGGTGGGTCTGGGGTCCCGGAGCAGCCAGTGTGTAGGGGCTGGGGGCGCCCGGGCCCTTTCCAGGCCTGGGCCCTGGAGTCAGTGGGTCCTCCGGGCTTTGAAGCCCCCACCTCCCTCCAGAAGGTCCACGGAGCCAGGTCAGCTCTGTCCTGAGTGGGGGTGTCCCGGCACCTCACCCCTGCAGAGGCTGTGTCGGGAGCTGTCGGGGAGCGGCGGCCCGGAGGTCAGATGGCAGACTCCCTGCGGTAGGAGATGTTGTCCAGCGGGAGGGTGGCCTGCATGCGCTCCAGATCCAGGTGGCTGCCAAACTCCAGCATCCGGATGATGCCCGCCTCCTCCTTGGAGCCCGCCTCCAGGCCCAGGCCCGCGGCCACCGCGGCCGCCGCGGCCGCCTCCTCCTCCATCTCCTCTTCCTCCTGGCTCATGAGGGCCAGCTCGTTCTCGTAGCAGAAGGCACTGGGCGGGGGCGGCGGGGCAGGCAGCACGGTGATCTTGCTCTCCTGCAGCTCCCGGGCGGAGCAGCAGGGCGTGCCGGCCACCTCGTAGGTCTTGTGGAAGCGCGAGTAGTCCACCTTGTAGTGGCTCTTCTCCTCGAAGACCACGGGCTCGAAGCGGTGGCCCCACAGGATCTCGCTGGCCAGGTAGGAGCTGCGGGCCTGGGTGGTCATGGCGGTGGCCTCCACCATGCCCTCCAGGATGACCACGATCTCAAAGTCCTCCGACTCCAGCTCCTCCTTGCCCATGCCGTACAGCGGGCTGTCCTCATCGATCTCGTGGACGATGATGATGGGCGACACCAGGAAGATGCGGTCCAGGCCGATGTCGTAGCCCACGTTGAGGTCCCGCTGGTCCAGCGGCAGGTACTCGCCCTCCTGCGTCATGTAGGGCTTGATGAGCTGCGCCCGCACGTGGGCCTCCACGATGTGGCTCTTGCGCAGGTTGCCCACGCGCCACATCAGGCAGAGCTTGCCGTCGCGCACCGAGATGACCGCGTGGTGGCTGAACAGCAGCGTCTGCGCCCGCTTCTTGGGCCGGGCCATCTTGGCCATGATGGTGCCGATCATGAAGGAGTCGATGACGCAGCCCACGATGGACTGGACCACCACGGCGATGACCGCCAGCGGGCACTCCTCCGTCACGCAGCGGAACCCGTAGCCGATGGTGGTCTGCGTCTCCACCGAGAACAGGAAGGCACCCAGGAAGCCGTTCACGTGCATGATGCAGGGCTTGGGGGCTGCCGGGGCTGCCCCGCCGCCGCCCGGCGGGGCCCCCGCCGCGGGCACCGCCGGGCTGGCCTCCAGGTCACCGTGGAAGAAGGCGATGCACCAGAAGAGGAGGCCGAAGAAGAGCCAGGACACGAGGAAGGCGGCGGAGAAGATCATGAGCATGTAGCGCCAGCGCGTGTCCACGCAGGTGGTGAAGATGTCCGCCATGTAGCGCTGCGACTTGTTGCTCAGGTTGGCGAAGTACACGTTGCACTGGCCGTTCTTCTTGACGAAGCGGTTGCGGCGTTTCCGCCGGGGCACGTGGGCCTGCCCGTTGCGGCTGTGCCCGTGCATGTCCTGAGGCCGGCGTGGTCACCTGGGAAGACGCAGGGCCTGGGGAGGAAGCCAGATGGTGAGATGCTGGGGAGCGAATGGCCTTGGGGGGGCCTCGGAGAGCCCCGGCAAGGTGCCCACCCAGTGCTGCTCAGAAAAGCCTGGCCTGGCACCCAGTTCCCCCCCACCCCGCCCCGCAGGCAGAAGGTGCCCGCTGAGGTGCTCCTCACAGCAGGGGGTGCAGACAGCAGTGGGTACAAGGTGGGCCCAGCTCCTGGGTCTGCTGGACCAGAAGGGGAGGCGGCCAGGATGCGGGCCTTGGTCCCTGCCGCTGGCCCCTCCAACCTGCCTTTGCAGCTCTGAACCTTCCAGAGCCCACTTTGGCTCTGCCCTCCCCCATCCGTCCCACTTGCTCCGAGCAGAGGGGGCTGTGAATGCTTCTGCCCTGTTACCTCCCTGCCCTTTGGGGTCTTCGGGGTGCCTGGCAGGCTCCTGTGTTGTCTAGGACAGCAGCCGCTGGCCGCCTGCGGCTCTTTACATTTACTTAGGCTCCCGGGCTGCGCTAGCCACATGGCAAGTGCTCGGTGCCCGCTTGTGGCTTGTGGCTGCCAGGCAGGAACTTCCATCATTGCAGAACCTTCTACTGGGGCTCGAGCTCCACCTCGCCTGTCCTGCCCCCAGACTTGCTGGGGACCATGGTGGGGCCCAGATGGAGGGAAGGGGAGTCCGGGATTTGGCTTCTGCGAGGGCATCCCTGTCCCCAGGACCAGGGTGAAAGAGCCGGGCTCAGAGAAGGGAAGCGACCGACCCCCCAAGGCAGGGAATGGAGTCCAAACCAGGTGTGTCTAAAGCTTCAGTCCCAGGTGCCGGCAATGCGGGTGAGTTCCCGGGCTGCAGGCGCAGAGCGGGTGGGGGCAGGCACCCCCCCGCCTTGCTACGTCACCTCGGGCAACTCACTTCACCCTGCCAAGCCTCAGCTTCCTCATGTATAACACGGGGTGGGAACCCTACCTCACAGGACCCGAGGAGCCAGTGGGGGCTCCCTGAGAGCCAGCCGCCCTCCCGCCTGCCTGCCTGCCTCCCAGGAGCGGGAGGGAGCCCGAGAGGCAGGGTTTGCCTGTCAGCCCCAGCTGTTTCAGCGGAGGCGGCCCCCCGCCCTGCTGGGTGGCAGGCGTGCCAGCTGGGCCCAGGGTAGACCCTCCCTCGGCCCCTCCCTCCCTCGGCCCCAGGAGAGCCGGTGCTGTCCAAGGCCCGTGCTGGCAAGGCCCGCTCCCGGCCTGGGCTCCTGGTAACGTTTTGGCCCAGAATTATATAAGGCTGGAAGTTTCTATTTTCTGTTCTATTCTTCTTCCTGATCTAATTGTGCATCTGTGGCAATGTTTATACACTTCCCCGTTCAGGACAACTCCGTTGCTGCAGCAACCGGTGCGCGCCAACGCTGTAATTTAGAGATCAACAGCTCCGAGCCTGCCTCTTCCCCAGAAACTCCCTCGGCCCAGGAGCTCTGCCTCCACCCCTCCCCCGCGGCCGCCCTGCCCGCCCCACCGTTCATCTCCCCTCCCCCTTTGAAAGGTGCTCCTGGGGTCCACAGTCCTGCAGGCAAGTGCCAGACCCCCCAGTTCCAGACCGGCCGCCTGTGTAACTTGGGCAAGTCACCCGGCTGCTCTCAGCCTCAGTTTCCGCAACCGGACAAGGGGGGTGGCGAGCCCCCCAAGGGGAGACCCCAGCCTGGAGTCCCGACCACACCATGGCCAAGGCCACCTCCCCAGGCGGCCCCTCTGGAGACTGGGCCAGCACTCCAGGGCAGGCCCCCTTGGCTCAGGGTCTCCCGCTCTGCGTCCCGCTGTCTCCAGGGCCGTGACTCCCCAGGAGGACCAGAGCGAAGGCTCGAGACCCCTGACTTCAAGTCCGTCCTTTCACTTCTGACACCAAGGGCGTGGGCGGGGCGCGTCCGCTGGGTGTCCCAGGGTGAGGACGGTGGCCCAGGCCTGAGCTGGGTCTCCTTCCGCTGTGAAGCTCCTAGAGGCGGGTCAAGGCGCCCCTGGGAAGGCAATGGGGTGCCCCTGGAGGGCTGGGGGGTGGTGGGGAACAGAGGCACCAGCCTGCCCCAGCAGGCCCTGGACCCCTGACCAGAGGTCTCTGGGACAGAGGTAGAGGGACTTGGGCCTCTGATGGAAGAGGATGCTGGGTCCAGGGAGGCCAAGGGCCAACACAAACCCAGGGTGCTGGGAACCCCTGGATCTTGGCCCATAGGGACTGGCCCGAACCTGCAGGGGATGGGTCCATCTTGTGCTACAGGAGAGGGCTCTTCATGGGGCGCCCACCCTCTGGGATGAGGGAGATGATGCCCTCTGTGTCCCATGGCTCCAGGCTGTTGCCCCTCCCCCTCAGTGAAAGCAACAAGGTGAGCCCCAAGACTGCCTGGCCCCAGCCCCAGCACACACCCTCACCTTCAATACTCACCACCCCCGGCCCCTGCCTTTTCATCACCGGGCGCCCCTCCCCATCAGCCCTCACATCACAGCCTGTGGGGCACAGATCACCCCACCCCCAAGCCTCCTCTCCCCATCATAGGGCCTGAACCCCGAGTCCCTCCTCTGTGCCGGCCACTGGCCTGCGCAGCCCTGAACTCAGTGAACGTCTACTCCTCCTGGGCCACTGGGCGCCGCCCCGACTGTGCTCCCCCAGACCTGCCCCGGCCCCCCAAAGACCCTGATGTGCAGTGAGCCGCTTAGCTGGGTCCTTGGCAGCACTGAGAGGACCCCTGGAGGCCCATGGCTGGACCCGCAGGCTGCCCGGCCACAGAGTGACAAGGACCAGCCAGGCCCCGCGCTCCGCTCCGTGTGCCCGGAGCCGGGAGGCTGGGGCTCCTGGGCCCTGTTGTCACGCGGAGCCTCCTGGAGAAGGTACGAGGGCCGAGGGGAAAGCGGGAAGAGAAGGGGCGGGAGGCGCTGACAACTCGGTCCCAGCCTCCTCTGAGTGTAGCTGTTTTACAAGAAAGAGAGAGACACGGATGCTTGTTTAAGTGCCTGTATCATGTCTACGATTAAAAGGTGCGTTTCGGGAAGGCAGGGAATGTGCCCTGTGATCTCTCTCTCTCTCTCTCTCTCTCTCTCTCTCTCTCACACACACACACAGCGTTTCTACGCTGGAGGAGCAGGGGTCTGGCTGGCCTGCAGGGTCCTCCCCCTGCCTGGCCGGTCACTGTCCTTCACTCCAGGTTGCTTCCCGGGACTCCGTGATGTAAAAATTCTTTCTTTTGGGAACTGAGGGGGATGGAGATGTGGCTGCTTTTTAAAACATCGAATCTTTTCTTGGAAAAGGAAAGGATCAGCCTTTTTCCCTTTGACAGTTACTGTGCTATGAACATTCCAGATCGGGAGCCCCTAGACCAGTCCCCGGACACTGGGGAAACTGAGGCCAGGGCAGCAGTGTGGGCGGTGATCAGCAGCTGACGCCCAGGCTTCGGCGGGGAGAGGGTGACCGGCAGGATATGGGGTCCTAGACACCATCACGCCCCGTCCTGAAGAGTTCAGGGGGGCCGGACCTTGCTGCTGAGGGGTCCAGAGGAGGACCACCTGCCTCCTGTCGCCCCTTAGACAGTCTATGACATGAAATGCCCTCTGCTCGCCCACAACTTGAAGCCCACAGGGTGGCAGCACCCCAGGGGAACCCAGCAACCCTGGTGGGCCATGCGGGCAAATCTCCCACTTGCACCCGCCACTCATGGGCAACCTGGTAGCAGCTGTGGGTGGGCCTCACCCAGGCCCTCCGGCCTCCAATGCAGGCCTTCCCGAGACCCAGGCAGGAAGCCCCCGGCAGGCAGGAGAGGGGGTTGAAGCCCACACGGGGCGGGGGGCACTTTATATCTCCCACTGTTATTGGGTGGGTGACTTGGTCAAGGTCACACAGCTCTCTGGCCACCCTCAGGGAAGGAAAGTTCTGGAAGAACCAGCCCTGTGCCAGGGACTGTCTAGTCTCTCTCACTCAGGCATCACTGCAACCCTTGTTTATTTCACAAGTATTTATTAAGCACCTACCACGGCAACAAGCAGGGTTATTATTTCTCTTCCCAGCTGAGGACTCATAGGCTGGGGATGGGGGAGGACAGGCAAGGGGGGTCGCGTAGCAGAAGTGGCAAAGTCAGGTCAGCTGGGGACTCGGGTCTGGCTGCTCCAGGTGCCTGCTCACCTGGTCCCCAGCCTCTGGCCTCAGGTCCCTTCAGGCCCCACAACATCCTGTGTAGCCTGGAGCCCCTCATGCCTCTCCCAGCCCTCCAGGCCCGACCCGAACCCCCTCTGTTCTGGGGAGGCCTTCCGGGCTGCCCTGGCCTGCACTGTCCACACCACTTGGCTCTTCTTTAACGTTATGGACATAACCTGCTGGTTCTCAGCCTAGGCTCTGTCGTCTCCCAGCATGTCCCTTTGGGCTTTAGTTTCCACATGCGTTAAATGGAGCTGACGAGCTCAGTCCTACCTCCCAGGCCACTGGTGAGCAGACGTGATTCCCTCTACACAACAGCAACATCGCGGCTGAGGGCGGGAGGTGCAGGGGAAGGCACAGACTGCTGTCCACGAGCCAGGAGCTATGAGCACACCGGGGAGGGGGGGTCGGGATCCCAGCACAGGGAGGTGCGGCAACTTGCCCCGTCACACAGCTCATAAGCGGTGCTGCCAGCATTTAGACCTGGGCCTCTGCTCCTCCTCTCTACCTGCAAAGCAGCGGCCATAACTGCCCCCTGGCAGGAGAGCCGGGAAGGGGAACAAGGCTCCTAGCACAGGACGGGGTGGATGTCCCCGAGCCTGAACCCTGCCCCCCAATCCCTGCCCTCTCTTGGGTCTGGAGGGGAAGGCTGACTCTGGGTTTACCAGGCCAGTGGGAGGCAAGGAGGGGCCGAGGGGCTAACTCAGTGCACTCAGGAAGGGACCTAGAAGGTGGGACAATTGCCCCCCAGGCCCAGAAAGGGAAAGCAATGAACACCTTTGTCCCAGGCCCCAGTCTCTGGAGGGGCACAGAGCCTGCCCCGACTCCCGCTCCAGCAGAGGCCTCTCAGGCCTGGA